TCCAACGGGTTTGAAGGACAGTGAACTGACCCCCTGTTTAAAAAGTTTGAGACCCCTGATCTAAGTATTAGAAGAAGACTCTTTGGAGTCACATAAAATTTAAGTTTTAGTCATCTGCCAAACCCTATAAACATTAGAAAATTCTCTAGCCTGTTTTTCTTTTCTTTTCCTATTCAAGCATTCTTAGTTCATTTTGTGGTTCTTTATATTTCATAGCTTAATATTCTGATTTTTATTTGGGTAATTGTGTGTTTTAGAACTGTATATCTTCCTGGCTTCAGGAATTTTTGTTTGCCGGCTAACTTTGAATGAGGGTTCTATTTTTAACTTTGTGTTTACTGTCTGATCCTCTGTAGTGATTCTGTAGTTTTATGGTTGCTCTCCATCTGCTAGAGTATTTCAGGGCTTAAAATGGTGTTTGAAGTTTCTTGCTCTGTGATGTTACTGGTATTACGTATGTAGTCTTAGAATCATTGGGTTGCTTGCTGACCAGAGAGCGGATTTTGTTTTTTGTCTCCGCACACAATTAGAATTTCCAATGAAGCCTTTGGTACCAAGCAGGAGGAGCTCTGCCCAGGGTGGCCAGCTTAAGCTGATAATCTTGAAATACCCTTACCCTGGATAGAATACTTTTGCTTCTGTCTAATACATAGTTTATGATTTTGGACAGCGCTTCCTTCTTCCACACCTGGAGCCCTGCAGGTATTTCCACTACTCATCACTTTGGGTTTTCTGTGCCTTTTGATGGGTCTGTAAAGATGTCTCTGCCTGATCCCAGCTATTTCTTTTTTGGTTCCTCTTCTTTGTATCAGAAACCAAACCAAGGACACTGCCATCAAGTCGTTCCAACTCATGGTGATCCTGTAGAACAGAGTAGAACTGCTTCTGTGGGTTTCTAAAGCTGCAGTCTTTATGAGTAGAAAGCCTCACCATAATCCCTTAAAGGATCTGGTGGTTCAACCTGCTGTCCAAGTTAATGGACAAATGGACTTAAAAGATGATTACATTTTTTTGTGAGTCTTTTGAAGCCACCTCATAATTACCTATGTTGCTCTGTGTCTAAAGGAGAACTTGTAGGTCAAAGTGACCTTGTTAAGGTACCTCGACCATTTGCATCTTATTATTGGTCAAATTCATTTGATACCTAAATCTGACAAAAAAGTTGTGTGTATATACATTCTGACCATCTTACTCGTCCAGTATATAGCAGCCAAAGATTGAATTGGCCTTTTGGGGAAATCATCTTATATTGTGAATTCAGATTGAGCTTTTTGCCCCTGCAGTTAAAGCTCATCCTGGCTTTTCTAGATGCTCACGCTGAGCTCAGTGTCTCTTATTCCTTTGACCAGCAGCAGCAGCAGCAGCAGCAGCCGCAGCAGCAAAATGCAAGCTCTTGGATGGACAAAATACTCTGACTATGCATTGTCCCAAGACCTCTAGGGGATCCTGTGAACATTCACGATTAGTATAAGTGTGGTTATAGCATTATGAAGGAAGCTGAGCTCCTAGGATGCTTGCATGATAGCATTTTTATGATTATCATGGAATTTAAAGACAAATAAGTGTTCTGTGACTCACTGTTAATATAACCTAGTTTGATATTGTAATCTAAAATTTTGGTTAAATTCATGCTTTAATTTGAGCTTATTTTAATTTAAAAGAAAATACATCATGTCCTCAAACGTAACCTTACGTTTTGTTGTTGTTGTTAGGTAGGTACCAGTGAGTCGGTTCTGGCTCGTAGTTGACCCTGTGTACTGCAGAACATAACAATGTCTGGTCCTGCACCATCCTCACAATTTTTGTTATACTTGAGCCCATTGTTGAAGCCACTGTGTCATTCAAGGGCCTTCCTCTTTTTCACTGTCATCCAGTTTACCAAGCATGAGGTTCTTCACCAGAGATTGGGCTTTCCAGATAACATGTCCAAAATAAGTGAGACAAAGTCTTGCCATCCTTGCCTCTAAAGAGTATTCTGGCTGTACTTCTTCAAAGACAGATTTGTCTGTTCTTTTGGCACTTTTCTTCACATTTGTATAACATGAACTTTATGTTTATTTCCTAGGGGTGCCCTTTAACTCCATTGCCTCCAGTGAGTATTGCTATTCGACTTACCTATGTACTTCAGGATTGGCAGCAGTATTTTTGGCCCCAGCAACCTCCAGGTAAGATCATTTAGAGATGTGCATAACTTACTGAATGTACATAGAGAAGAAAATATGTTTATGTCTAGTATTTTAAATTAGAAATATTTGTCATTCATTTTGGATTTTTTCTCTTAAATAAAAAGCTATGTAGATTGTTCTAGAGGCAATGATAATCTGTATTTGACAATCTGTCTTTAAAAGCTAGTATTATTTATAAAGCATTCCCTGATGTAAGCTATTATATAAATTAGTATTTAGTAAATGATTAGATTGTCTTGATATTAGAACATAATTTTAAAAACCTACCTTTCTAAGTGAAAATAACCGTAGCACTTGTAGAGAGGAGAATTTGGAGAACAGGGATAAATGAAGATACAGGACAGGGGAGGGGAGACATATATGTGCAGTAACAGATGGTTAGTGCTGTAGAATATTTTCCTTAAACTTGCGTTTTGTAAAAATGTAGTCAAAATCAGTTTGCCTACTGTTAGTCATTGATACATTGATTTATTCAATGATCATTAATTTGTTAACCTATAGTATGCCAGGTTGCTCTAGAGCAGTGGTTCTCAACCTTCCTAATGCTGCGACCCTTTAAATACAGTTCCTTATGTTGTGATGTCCCCTCCCCCCAAAACCATGAAGTTATTTTTGTTGCTGCTTCATAACTGTAATTTTGCTACTGTTATGAATCAGGCAACCCCGATGAAAGGGTCGTTCCACCCCAAAGGGGTCGTGACCCACAGGTTGAGAACCGCTGCTCTAGAGACACAAACAAGTTATTACTTAAAATTCTAGAGCAGTTCAATCTAATGGACATATGGCTTAATTAACTAAGGTTTCTGGTTCTTTGGTGTTTCTCCCACATGTAACTATAATTATATTCAAACACATTCAATGAATGAAGCAAACAATGTAAATTGGTAAATCGTCAATAAGACCATGACTGGAGTTTAGATGTAGTTTTTAAAAATGTCCATTAGTTTCAAATCATTCAGACATACATCAAACAATAGAACTGCAAAAAGCTCAGTATGTACTACATTAATTTTTGCATGATCACAAGCCTACTGATTTAATATGTTCAATCCTAAAAAGAACCAACTCCTAGGAACAAAAAGCATAGGAACCTGGTGGCATATGCGTTGGGTAGAGATCTGCAAGGTTGGTATTTCCAAACCAGCTGCTCTGTGGGAGGAAGATGGGTCTTCTACTCCCGTAAACAGTCCTGGTCTTCGGAACTCAAAGGGCAGTTCTACCCTGTCCCGTACAGCCGCTATGAGTCAGCATTGACTCAATGGCAGTGAGTTTGCGTGGAGGGAACAAAAGTAAACAATAAAGAATGGTATTTTAGTTTCTTTCTGTTTGGAGACATTAGACTACAAATGTTTTCAAGCTAGTAAAATCTTATTAATGATTTACCAGTTTACGTTCTCATTTATTTACCTTTATGACCAAGCAAAAAAAAAAACAAACCTCAAAAAACTCACTGCCATCAAGTCGATGCCCGCTTACAACAACCTGTACGACAGGTAGAACTGCCCCTGTGAGTTTTCCAGACTGTGCCTGTTGATGGGAGTAGAAAGCCAAGTCTTTCTCCCGAGGACCTGGCTGGTGGTTTCGAACTGCTAACCTTGTGGATTATAGCCCAATGGGTAACCACTGTGCCACTAGGGCTCCTTACCTTTATGACAGATACTATTATCTGTGTTCTATAGAGAACAGAGATGACTATCCCAAAGGAACATGGCTACCAAATGATACCAAGTTGAGGGAGGAAAAAAAAACAGTGGAACTACAATTGCTACATTAATTTAGGTCCGTAAGGTTGCTTCTCAACTTTCAATTCAGTTAAAAACTCTTTTCACTTCCATTCTAGTAATAATTTTTAACTTAACTTACTACAATATGCTTATTATAAATCAGGAGCTCTTATAAATTCACATCTTGTAATAAAGCTAGTTATTATGATCTTTATTATTGTAACCATTTTTTACTTGCAAAATGGAATGAATTGACTTGAAAAAAAATTCTTAAACCAAGTAATTGAGCCATATTAAGTGACTTGACTTTAATAATATAGTTAGGGGGTAAATATAAAAATTGGTATTAGAAAACCTGGGGAGGGTTTCTAACTCAATGGTAGATTTAATTTTAGGAATTCCCCATGTAGTGTGAATAATTACAAAAAACAATTTGTTTTAATTCAAGGAGAAATATCGACTATTTACTACTTCTTCTGGAGAGGTAGTACTAGTGGAATAGAGAGTCTTTCCTGAACTTTAATATTTCCATGTCTCCTCAATATAATTTTATTAATGACGAGAACTTTGCTAATTTGCTATTTATAAATTATTGACAACAAAACTGATAGATGAAGGTGATTTTTTTTTTATTAATCATTTTATTGGGGGGTTCTTGCAAATCTTATAACAGTCTATCATTCAATTATATTAAGTACACTTGTACGCATGTTGCCGTCAACATTTCCAAAGCATTTTTTTCTACTTGAGCCCTTAGTATCAGCTCCTCTTTTTTCCCCTGAAGTGATTCAATTTTTAATACTTGGATGATCTTAATTTTGATGGTATTAAACACATTTTAAAATTATAGTAATAATCTTTATTTTAAATAATTTCATTGGGGGCTCTAACAGCTCTTATAATAATCCAATCAACAGTTGTATCAAGCACATTTGTACATATGCAGCCATCATTAGTAATACTATTGTTGATTGTGTAGTGCCTGAGGCATATTTAAGAAGGTTAAAATATAGAATGCCTAGTATGAATGAAGCACTAGACTGTAAAGGCGGAACTGAGGGACAGGGAGGAAGACGGACGTAACTGACAGGACAAGGGAGAGCAGAAGTAGAAAGAGCTTTATTAGGGGTTAGGGGAGCTTCGTGACCTAGGCCAACAGGTCAGGGAGGTCGTGCTCAGCAGCTGGGGGCGAGGGTTTTTAAAGGAGTGGTGAGGAATGTATGGCAATTAGCATATAAGGTCTGGGAACTGGGAGAATTGCTTGTCCTCTCCTGGAGGCTTTCTTTGAACCGGGAACATCAGGTTTCACCTGGCACCCACTGCTGCTGACCTCTGGGACGTGCAGGGAAGCAGGTGCAGGGCCCGAACCTGCTTCAGCTTAGTCCAAACGGGTTCTGCCTAGTTCCGACCCGACCCAACATAGACGAGTAGGTAAAAGATGTGCCCCTTTCATTATCTTCTCAATGTAAATCATGGTGTTGTGGCTATGGGTTGGGCTGCCACCCACATGGTCGATAGTTTAAAACCACCAGCAGCTCCGCAGAAGAGAGACGGCTTCCTACTCCCAGCAGCAGTTAACAGTCTTGGAAACTCACGGGGTCACGATGACTGAATGACAGAGAGTGTGTGCACTCTCCTTTTGTGCACTTTCAAAGATATGATCGCCCAGTGGGCTTACCTATAACAGATTAGATTCTTACCTCTCGATTTGTTGACCAATAATAGAAAAATCTCTTTTGTTTAGATATAGATGCCCTTGTAGGAGGAGAAGTTGGAGGCCTGGAATTTGGCAAGTTACCATTTGGTGCCTGTGAAGATCCTATTAGGTCAGTGCTTCTCAACCGTCCTAATGCTGTGACTCTTTAATACAGTTCCTCATGTGGTGACCCCAACTGTAAGGGTTTTTGGGATGCGAAGCGGAATTAAAGATCCAATTGGTAAAGTTTTAGAAGCAGGCTTTATTGAGAAGCTTGCGGATGGGTTCAGTAACTCACATATTGAGCTAATGAAACCGCGTGAGGGGAATTTCTGGCTGCGTTTTTATATCCCCTGGTGGCAGGCACAGCTGCA